GTTGCTCGGGATCACAAATACACACGCATTAACTTGCAACACTATACATACGCCGAACTGTTATGTCTTGATGGGTGATGCATAAGCAAAGCTCAAAAGCAATCAAGTTATGTAGCACATTTCTGTCTCATTCGCCAAACGCACAAGGCAGTAGCTGAGACACTAAGTTCACATGGAGGTAATTACATCAACCCAGTAACAAGAATTGAACCGCATAGGAAACCAGCGAAACTCAATCTAGGTAGTATGGTCGCAGATGCTTCTGTATTAAAACATCATGTTTCATCCTATAAGAATAAGACAATAATTTTTTTCGTTATTGTTGTACGATGCCCAAATATGCCTCAGCTGAAAGCAAAACCAACCTACTTCCTGCACAGCACTGTATAAATACTGAAGGATCATGTAACCGTAGCAAAGATGGTTTTACACAAACTCGAGTAATCGTTCATCGTAATGCCATACACTCACTCAATTTCTTTTGATCTACATAAAACAGTGACCGGAAACACCGACTACAAAACTCATTTCACAAGGTATACACAACAAGATTAATATAATCAATCGTTTCCCATTTAAACTGTGTTCGCCGTTGCCTCAGCGAGTTGCAGGGCGCGTAATTAATCAACAGCAGCGCCTTTTAAGGAAAGTGAACACCCGGGGACAAACTCAATCCATGTCACACTACCTGCGTCAGTCGAACCGTAATTGAATCTATGATTATGATCATTATTACTATTCGACCGATGCACGTGACACGTTGCCGGATTTATTGAAAGCACGTCGATAAATAATGACCATCGGAAACTCGACTTTCACGTGATGACTCAACAACACTCATGCTAGTTTCGCTTGCTACAAGCAAGATGCATTGGCAACCTTACCGTAACTAACAATTGCACATGTGATTCGTTCGTAAACGTCATACAGCACTTACCAACATGGTTAGATTGATGTACAGCTCAGATGGAAATTCAGGCCTCGACGCGTACACGTCCATATCACACAGATGGCAATGGTGAATTAGCCAACTTCCTGCTTCACGAATACGAACAAAATATGGTAGCACCTAAAAGAAACTAGTTGTAAACGTAAAAATATATAATCTATAAAAAAAATTATTACAGAGTAAAAGAGAAAAAAATAAATCTGACAGAATATAATACACAACCGCGGCATTCACGTGACGGAGTGATCGACGGAACGGATTATATATAAACAAGCAATAT